CTCCTCCTCCTCCTCCTCCTCCTCCTCCTCCTCTTTCTCCTGCATGTTCTTCTCCTCCTCCTCCACCTCCTTCGTGCGGCGGGGTGCCCCGAGAGTCAACGTACAGTTCAGTCGGGGGCACGTCCCTCTACAAGAGGAAAATTGAAAAATGGTCAACAAATAGTCTGGGGACGAATTTTGGATTATTTTTCGTTTTCTTTTATATTTTCTGACCATCTTTTTTCCTCCTCCAGCATCCGCCTCTAGGAGGACATGTCCGACCAAACGCTCGGGGGCCCTTCGGGCGGCGTAGTGTCCAGAGATCCAACGTAGATTGACAAAAATCAGGACGGAGGTTTTTCGCAAAGTTCGGCCCCTAGGGGCCCTCGCCGTTCCTCGGGACCGTCAAAAAAGGACTGAGGATGAAAACCGGTCCCAGGGAATGGGTCGAGGCTTCTGGGGACCCCGTATTGAAAAAATCACGACATCGGATCTCAGGGTGCCCCAGACCCCTTCGGTTTGTGAAAAATCGGGGTCCCGGAGAGAGGGTCAGTGCAAACGGGGTCAGCCAGAGCACCGGATCCTGCAGGATTCTGCGAAGACCCTCTCTGGTTGACCTGTGTTAGCGAACCGCTCGGGGCCGCGAGGCGGCCGCGCATATTGGCTGATCCAGATTTGCGAAGCCCTGCGTTGCATTTGTTTTTTCCTGCATTGCAGTTTTTTCTTTTCCTGCTGACCCAAGTGCTTGACCTGGGTTAGCAGATCCCCGGACAAACATCACGACGGGAGGCTTCTCGCAGAAAGATGGGGTCGGGGGCGGCAAAGAGGGGGGTGGTGACTACGGGGGGGTGGATATCATGGCGTGGGCCATGATATTTCGCCAGATCTCATGGCGTCTCTTCTTGTTTCATTACGTCCCCGGCCCCCCCCTGGGCCGCGCACATGCCCCCGGCCATGATTGGCCCCCCCCCCTCGTGGACGCCCCCCTCTTGGCCGCCCCCGACTGGGGGTCGACGCTGCAAAAACGAAAGTCACGATGTCGGGGGTCTGGGGACGGCACCGCTCACGGTCTGCGCCGTCGAGGCTTTCGAGGCCCCCGGGAGTCTTCGTCGGCTCCCTGCGGCTTCCCAGCTTCGGGGTGCTCTCTGGATTTGGCAGTGCCTCGCCGAGGGTGGTCCCCGGGCTGCGTCGGAGACCCGAGGTATGGCCATGTGCTTCACTGGAGCCCTCACCGTAGCCTCGGGGCGAAACGCCGGTCTTGGGGAAGCGGTCAAGCTGTCGGGGGCCCGTGTCTCTAAATGTCCCAGGCGGTGTATGGTGACGACGCCGCGCCCTGAGGTCCTCCTCGCGTTGCACTGCTTTTGCGCAGCGTGCGTTTTCGCTTGGTTTCGGGCCCCAGGGCTCTCACAAATAGGTGCGGCTCGAAAAATGACGCAGGAAGATGGGTACTAGGGTTAAGTCGAGCCTGTCCCTCTACAGGAGGAATATTCAAAAGTAGTGAAAAATAGTCAGGGGACGATTTTATTGTTGTTGTTTTTCTTTTGTTTTTTTGTTGTTGATTTTTTCCTCTAGTTTGGCTCATGTTGGGGGTATTTTTGAGTATTCTTTATGTTTCGTCCAGAATCCCCCTGTAGGAGGACAGGCCCGACTTAATACTAGGGCTCAGGTCGTGATTTTTCTGCGGTCTGTCGCCACACGGGTTTGTGACCCCCCACAAAAGGCGCTTTCTGCGACGGGCCGGACGGCGAGCCAGAGGCCTCGGCCGGGGGCCCGCGAGGTGCCTTCGAGGAGCTGAGCAGCCTTGGGGGTGGGAAAGGAGGCCTTCGAGGCCCCGAAATTTTGGGCGTTGTCGTCGTCGACGCTCGACCCTTCTCTCGTTCTCGCCGTTTGGACCTCCTGGGAGGCCCTCGTCGCCAAGGCTGGATTCGCTTCGAAACTTTGGCCAGAACGCACCCCATGAGAGGCCCAGGGAGTAGCGGTATCGGTCACGGTTGGTTTCCCCAAGTGCGGCACGGATCGGTTAACCTAATCCCATCCCCACCGGGCCATGGTATCTAAGCCCCACCATCCCACTCCCCCAGCTGGGGATAGGCCCCTCGCGAAATTTAGGGGGGGAAATCGGCCAGTGGGGCCAAGGCCGTGCCAGCTGGGAGGGGGATCGGTTCAACGATGCTCAATCCTGGCGCTGCATGTTTTCACACCCAGGCGTCCTCGCCTGGTTTCGGGCCGAGGGGCCATCACGGGTGCACTAATATCGATGCGGCTCGAAAAATGCGGCAGAAAGATGAGACTTTTCGCGACGTGTTTTTCGCGACTTTTCGCGACGTGTTTTTCGCGACTTTTTCGCGAAAGATGGGCTCTGGTCGTGACTTTTCGCGACGTGTTTTTGTTCGCAGCGTCGGATCTCAGGGAGCGATGCCGACGCCGCTGCTCGTCCTGGAGGGCCCTCGCCGCCATGGCCGAGTTCTCGGAGATGCTGGTCAGGGCGCGCTCCTGGAGAGGTCCGTGGAGTAGCCTTCAGTCAAAAATATTCAAGACATATTCTAGGAACGACTTGTTGAGTATTTTTTTGTTTTTTTGAGCATTTTTGGGATATTTCTGATTTTTCGCCCAAGATCCGCCTGTAGGGGGGCATGCCCGACCTAAGAATAGCCCCGGATATCAAATTTCTTGATTTTTCAATGCCGGGTCCCAGGAAGCCTCGACCCTTTGCCCAGTGCCAGTTCTTCATCCCGAGCGGTTACTTGACGGTCCTGGGCCCGGCGAGGGCCTTCAGAGGGCGAAGTCTTCCAGAGACCTCCCGTCGCGATTTTGCTCGGAAACTGGAGCATATACACAACCAGTGGCGGGCGTTTTTTTTTTTTTGCTTCTTTTTTTTTCTAGGACTTTCTTGAGGGTCGGGGACGACGTCGGGGTGGTGTGGTGTATACTTTTTCCCCATTGTCCAGGGCAGCATCTCAGAATGTATACGCCAGAATGTATGCGCTGAGGGCGGACCAAGGCGTCGGTGTACAGAGTTCGGCCCCTCACTTGCCACGACGCGAGCATGCCTGGGGCGGTGCCGGCGTCTTTTCGCCCCCCCGAGCATGACCATCGTGGGGCCCTGGGGGCCCACCAGCTGCAGATACCTGCAGAGCGTCCCGGCGGAGGCGGAGCGCTGCGGGCAGGGCGGCTGGCCGGTGCTCCTGTTCCTCACGGGCCACGGCGAGATCCGGAAGGCTCCTTCGCCTGCTAACGGGGTCAGCCTTTCGGGGGTCAGGAGCACGTGCACATGGTTCATGTCTGATTCTTCGGAAGTTCTGTGATTTTTTTGGGGGCCAAGATCCTTTCATTTCTGATTGTTCTATCCTGGGCCTCTTCCTGGCCACTAGGGGGCTAGGAACAATTAGAAACGAGCACAATCAGAAATGAGCACGATCAGAAATGAACGACGTGTAAGCTCAACCTTGGGTTATCCTTGTTCGGGTCCGTCTTTGTCTCGGCAAGTGAGTATTCTCTTCCTCTGCCTTCGCAATTCCTGGGGGGATTCTTCGCCCGGGCCGGTATTTCATCGGATTTGTTGCTTCCCTCGCTTGCCCTTCGGTGACTCTGGCACACGGCCGCCCGACCCCGACTAGCAGGCGAACGAATAGGCCGACGGTGTGCGCGCGTGGATCGAGAGCGGCCGGGGCATCGACGCCGTGGCGCTGCAGCACTTTGTGGTCGTGGTGCCCCTGGTGACCTGGGACAGCGCCCTGTGCGAGGGCCACAGCTCGGAGAGCAGCACGCGGCATGAGCAATTCACCCTGCGGAGCTCCGCGCGGGTTTCTTGAGTCTGCGCCGGGCACCCCCTCCCTGGCGCGCGGAGCGCGCCAGGGGGCGGCGCCGGAGGCGCCGCCAGGGGTGCCTAGCGCCGATCCCAGAAGTCCGCGCAGGGCTCCGAAAGTGTATGTTTTTGTCAGCCGCTTTCTGTTCCCCGAACAGCGTGGACGTGGAGGCCCCTTGGGCGGGGCCAGGACAGGGACAAGATCGTTCCAGAGCGTCCGGAACGATCTGAGAAGGCCGCGGCGCCCGATATATCCTCCAGAGCCGCCGGACCTCAGAGATCTCCGATCTCCCTGACTCTCCACCTTCCAAGCCTTCCGACCAGCAGGTGGCTGATTTGGTAGTCTCCTCGAGGGACAATAAGCTGCATGAGCAATGCAATTCTCGGAGCTCCTTGCGGAGCCTCGAAAGTTTATGCATATGCAGTTTTTATGGCCTCTCTTGAGAGAAGCTCATTCTAAATCAGTCACCTGCTGGTCGGAAGGTGTGAAGGGGGAAAGGGCTATCCCCGTCCCCAGACCCCCGACGTCATGATTTTTTTATAGCGTCGACCCCTGGAGGTCTCGACCCATTCCCCGGGACCAGTTTTTCATCTTGACGCGTTTTTTGAGGGTCCCGAGGCCGAAAATAGCAACAACAACTCCCGTTATGATTTTTTCATTGCCCGAGGGTGTCGGGGGCATGGCTGTGTTTTGAGGCCCTGTGGCTGCTGCTGCGCGCGGCGGTGAGCCGCCTGGGCCACCTGGCCGACGACCGCCGCGTCTGCGTGACCGGCTTCTCCATGGGTGCCGATGCCGCCGCGCTGCTGGCCGCGCGGCGCGGCGGGCAGCTGGCGGCGGTCGCGCTCTTCTCAGGGGGCTACGAGCGGCTCTTGAGGAAGAGAAGAGCCTTGGCGTCGGTCCTCCTCCCCCTCCTCCTCCTCCTCCTCCTCCTCCTCCACCTCCTCCTCCTCCTCCTCCCCCCTCCTCACCCCCTCCTCCCCCGTCCTCCTCCTCCTCCTCCTCCTCCTCCTCCTCCTCTCCTCCTCCTCCTCTCCTCCTCCTCCTCCTCCTCCTCCTCCTCCTCCCCCTCCTCCTCCTCCTCCTCCTCACATGAGCGGCGATCACACACGGGCCCTGTGCGAGATTGGCGCAGCGACCGAATGCCGCGGCCTTGCGCGGGCTGGGTGCGCGGCACGCCGCGGCGGGAGCGAGGGCGCGGGCACGCGCGCGGCCTCACGCGGGCCAGCCTGCGCGCCGAGGTCGGCGCCGGCGACCCCGGCTTTCCTGCGTCGCTCCTGTGCCGGCATCGCCGACGCATCGCCGATGCATCTGAGATGCACTGGCGATACGGTTGGAAGTGGTTGTGGAAGTCGATTAATGGAGAGGAAGCATGCTGTCAAATCATTTCCAGATGTCGAATACATGTTTCAAGCATGTTTTAAATATGTAAAACCAGGTTTGAAACGTTTTTAGAACATGTTTTACACATTTTTAACAATTTTTAATTCAATAAGCGGATTGTTAGAGTGTCCATTGTCGTGGCATCCACAACGATACCGCGCCATCCTCAACCCCTAAATTGTAAGAACTAAGAGCTTATAAATATTTAAATCCTGAAGCTCTCACGGACGCCCTTCCGCGCCCCTTATGCCGCCCCCCATTTCGGCGCACCCCTCACGCAGGTTCTTGGCTTCGGAGTGCCAGGAATGGCGTTCTGGGAGGAGATGCTGGCATCGGAATGCCAGACATGGCGTCGTTAGTCCTTTGCGAAAGGTACGGGCGCGACCTCGACCCTTTCGGGTTGAGCGCCGCCCCCGTGCCCTTCCCCAGGGGCCGCCCCGTGGAGGCTGGACATGGCCCCCTGGGTTTCCGAGCGGCTATGGCCGCCCCGTCGCGCTGACACTCCGCGGCGCGCTCAAGCGCCACGGAGCCAGCGCGGCAGGACGACCACGGCCGCCCAGAAGCCCCCCTCCCTCGGGAGCCTCTCGCCGAGAAGCTCCTGGAGGAAGGCGCAGCTGCGCCTCGTCGACGCTTTTCTGGGGGCGCCGCGGTGGGCGGCGGTGGTGAGCGGCGCAACCGGGTCTCAACGCATCGCTACGATTCCGCCGTGACGCGGTGGAGGGCTCGGCCCAGCGCCAGCGACACGGTGTGGAGACAACATCGTCGTCGTCTTGAAATCAATATGTCTTGGGTCATGGGTGGGTGGGACACGTCCAACAGGCTGCGAGTTTGGGCTAGTGGACCCTAAACCCTAAACCCTAAACACCTTGTTTCACATGTTAATTTAGATCTTAAGCAAAAAAGTAGCCCTTCCTGCCCGCCATGGGGGGATAATTCCTAAACCCCTAGTCCATGCGTGCCCGCACACGGATTCTGCCCCTCCCGCATGGCGGCTAATTCCTAAATCCTCTATCCCATGTGTGCCCGCTCGAGGATCGCGCCCCTCCCGCTCAAGGATCGCGCCCCTCCCGCGCGGCGGCTAATTCCAAACCCGCTCATTCCATGCGTGCCCGCTCGAGGATCGTGCCCCTGCCGTTCGAGGACCGTGCCCCGATCCCGCGTGGCGGCTAGTTCCCAAACCCCCATCCCACGCGTGCCCGCTCGAGGATCGTGCCTCTCCCGCTCGGGGATGCCCCCCTTCAGGCACTCCGAAGCGATGTCGCGCGCTCCTCCCGCGGGCCGCCGCGCGCTCCTGTGCTGCTCCTCCTGCCTGCTGTTCCTCCCGCGTGCTCCGCGCTGCTCCTTCCTGCTCCTCGCTGATCCACGCGGCCTTCCCCGACGCAAGGGCTCCCCCGAGGGCGCGAAGTTATTCGCGCTTCGCGCTTCGCGGTCCTCGTTCCTTCTCCCCCTCCTCCTCGTCCTCCTATTCTCCCTTTGGGGGGGCGGCGCGAGAGCGCGAAGTTATTCGCGCTTCGCGCAGCGCGAAGCGCGAAGTTGGGAGCCCTAGCCGACGGCTTGCATGCGCCAGAGTGGGTGTCTTGATATGGAATGGGTTTCTAGGGTGGGTGGGATGTGAGCACCGCGCCAGTGTGTGACACGTCCAGTATGATGACATCTTCGCGCTCTTGTTGACCCTAAACCCTACAGTCTAAACCCAAAACCCTGAACCCAAATCTGCGCGGACCTCCGAGTTTTTATTTCTATGTCATTCTTCGTTCCCCTATTTCTGTTCCCCTGTGCAGAGGCTCCTGCGGGAGCCGCCAGCGCAGGCCGCGGAGCAGCTGTCGGGCGTGGGCCTGCGCGCGTTCCACGCCGCGAGCGACACGTACGCCCCGCCCCAGCACTCGAGGCAGCGCTTCACCCTTTGGGGCGTTGCACAAAGGGGGGGGGAGGGGGGCGACGCACCCAGACTCCCTCGCGCTGTGAACAAAAAACAAGACGGGAGGCTTTTCTCGCTACGTTCGGCTTCCGGGGGCCCGCGCCGGGCCTCGGGACCGCCGACAAACAACGAGGCAGGATGAGAAAACGGTCGCCGGGGAAGGGGTCCAGACCTCTGGGGGCCGACGCTGCGAAAGAGTCAGAGGCGACGAAAGGGGCGAAGAGCCCAGGGGAGAGCAACACACGTATCCAGGTGCGCCGACGATCTATGTCTTCGAGAATGCTCCCGGGCTATTCGCCCCTAACTCCGCCGCCCCTGCGCTATTCGCCCCTATCGTCGCCCCTGGGCTATTCGCCCCTATCGTCGCCCCTGTGTAATGCCCGCCCCTGGGCTATATTCGCCCCTATCGTCGCCGCCGCCGAGAGAGCCACGACGCCGGAAGCCTGGGTCGGCGGGGGCAGCGGGGGCGGCAGAAGGGGCCCCTGCAGGGCCACTAAAACGGGGGCCCCCCTGTAATTAGCGACGCCTCTCTTCCCCCCCCCCTCCGCCTCAAGGGCCCCCTTGAGGCCCCCATTGGGGCCCCCAAGTAGCGCGCCTCTCTTCCCCCCCCCCTCCATTGATCGCCCCCCCTGTGGCGACGCCCAAGACCTGGGCGGTGTCCCGGCGATGTCGTGGTCCGTTTTCCGCTCGGCCTGCGTCTCGCAGCAGGGGCGGGCCGGAGGCAGAGCGAGGGAAGCGGAGCAAGGCACGAGAACGAAGCATACCGCCCGGGTCGGGCCCTGACGCGAGGGACATGTTCGAGTGGCTCTGCGGGCGGCTGGGCGGCGAGGTGGGCAGCCCGACGACCGCCGCCTTCGACGACCCGGAGCCGCCCTACTGGGACCTCGGGCAGGGAGAGCCTGGAACAGTGGCCCACACAGAGAGGTGATGCTTTCTTTTTGCCTCTGTCGCTCTAGATCGGCCACGCGCAGAGGGGGGTAGGGGGATGGGGAAGCCTTCTTAGAAGCGCCCCTGCTTCTTAGAAGGCGCGGGCCTTGTCTATAGATGTAAGGCTGGGCCCTTCTCAGAAGCAGCCCCCTTCGAAGAAGTCTTCCCCCCTCCCCCTACCCCCCTTTGCGCGCCGCCAACTGTAACGGAGCCGTACTGCTTGCGCTGCCAGGGGTTTTGCGCGCAAAACGCGTCTCGATAGGACCTGGGTTCCCGAGGGGGAAACAGCGCCCACCCAGACAAGTCGACGGAGGAAATCTGCACGGGTTCACTCGACACTCGAGTGTGCCGATTCGGTCCCCAGTCGTTTTTTCGCTAATCGACGTGCGTTTCGCAGGATAGGTACAGTCGGATGTTTGTCGGACGGGGCCAGGACGAGGATACATCCGTTCCAGAGCATTCTGGAGCGCTCTCAGAGCTTTCCGGAGCGCTCTGAGAAGGCCACGGCGCCCAAGGCATCCTCCATAGCCGCGGGATCTCAGAGATTCTCGATTCGTTCCCACCCGGCTTTATCCTCGTCCTGGCTTCGTCTTAGTCTGTGGACGTCGTTACCCCGCTTGGGTGCACTCGGAATGCGGTGCCGTGTGCACGTGGAGTGCCCCTGACAGCTTTCACTGAAGGGCGTTTTCGCCCTGCCCCCCCCGCCGAGGACCTGGGCGCGAAGGTCGATTTCGAGGTGCTGGAGTGCCACCAGCCTGGCGTGGAGAGGACGCTGTGGCTCATGCAGGACCCCGAGATCTGGAGGAGGAGGAGGAGGAGGAGGAGGAGGAGGAGGAGGAGGAGGAGGAGGAGGAGGAGGAGGAGGGAGGAGGAGGAGGAGGAGGCAGTTTTGCCGAAGCCTGGCGCCGTCGCCCAGTTCCGGGCCCCGGGGCCAGCACGGATCGATATGCGGCTCGCAACACGTGGCACGGCGAAGGTGCCCAAGGGGGTGTCCGGTCACGATCTCTCCCGTGCCGTGGCATCTTTTCTGCTTCTGCCACGTCGGATCTCGAGGACTACGTGTGGCGGAGAGCTGGGGACGAGTACGACGGCTGGCGCAAGAGGCGGTCCCACGTGTGCTGGCCCACCGTCTACCTGAACGAGGGGACCTTCGGGCTCTTCCGGTGGCTCCTGCGGCACCGCAGCCGCGAGGGCCTCCTCCGCGGCGCCTCCGCCGACATCGCGCTGCGGCGCGCGCTGAGGGGCCCCAGCGGCCCCGGCGCGCCGCCGGGCCTCCTGCCCCTGCTGCAGGACCTGCAGCTGCGGGAGCTGCTGCTGAGCTGGCTGGTGGAGCCCCTCCCGAGCCGCGGCGGAGCCGAGCGCCAGAAGGCGAAAGCCCACCCTCCTCCTCCTCCTCCTCCTCCTCCTCCTCCTCCTCCTCCTCCTCGTCCTCCTCCTCCTCCTCGTCGTCCTCCTCGTCGTCCTCCTCCTCCTCCTCCTCCTCCTCCTCCTCCTCCTCCTCCTCCTCCTCCTCCTCCTCCTCCTCCTCCTCCTCCTCCCCCTCCTCATGGCAACGTCGACGAGCCCCCGCCCCGACTCCCACCCCGAAGCCGGCGATCCGGGGGGTTCGGGACTGGGCGTGGGAGTGCTTCTCTGGGCCCCAGGGGCCCCAAACCAGGGCCCTCCCCACCGTCGCGTGATAGCCGACCTCGGACCAAGCCTCCGAGGAGGTTCTGGAGGTCGCCGCGGCCGTCGCGGCGGCCGCGGATCGGTGCAGGGCTTGTGCCAAGGAGTGGTCTGCTGACGTGGCCCATAGCTAACAACCTGGCGACAGATCAGTGTGTGTTACGCCCAACACGGGCAGTCATGCTTTTTTGGTTGGGGGTCGATCCTCACGCAACCACCCCACCCCCAGTCCCCGGGGCCCTTGCTGAGGCCGCGCCTGGGCCAGCCATGCTCGGCGAGGCAGGAGGGGGGATCAAGGGGGGAGAAGGGGGTGGGGAGGGGAGGGACCCCCTGGATCGATCTCGCCGCTTCGGGGGTGAGCGTCGGGCCTCGGGCCCAGACCCCCGACGTCAAAATCTATTCACAACGTCGACCCCCAAAAATCTAGGCCGATTTCGAAGAGCCAGTCTTTCGCCCTGGGTCCTTTTGTGACGGTCCCGAGGCCCGGTAAGGGCTCCCAGAGGCCAAAAATAGCGGTCACCCTCCCGTCGTGACTTTTTCATGACTCGAGGGGATCGGGGGGTGGTCGGACGGGGCTGGGGCGAGGATCAATTCGTTCAGAGCGTGCCGGAACGCTCTCAGAGCGCTCTGGAGCTCTCTGAGAAAGCCGCAGTGCCCGAGAACTTTCCCAGAGCTGCGGGATCTCAGAGATTCTCGATGTATCCTCACCCGAATTTCTCCGCGGCTTGGCTTCGTCTGAGGTGGGGGTGGGTCTTCGCCTTCCCGGAGCGCCTCGCCTGGGCCCCCGGCGCGAACGCGCCGGCCTCCGCGGCCTTCGAGGTGCGCTGGCTGCTGCGCGGGCCCTTCGGCGGGCCCTCCCGCCCTTCGGCTGGCGCCTCGGCGGGCGAGGCCGCGCGCGAGGCCGCCGCCGCCGCGGGCCCCTCGACGGGCCCTGCGGCGGGCGCTTCGGCGGGCGCTTCGGCGGGCCCTTCGGTGGGCCCCTCCGCGCGCGAGGCCGCGCGCGAGGCCGCCGCCGCCGCGGGCCCCTCGGCGGGCGCTTCGGCGGGCCCCACGGCGGGCCCCTCCGCGGGCGAGGCCGCGCGCGAGGCCGCCGCGGAGGCGGTCGGGCCCGGCGCGGGGCCTGCCCGCAGGCGGCGGCGGCGGCGGCCCGCTGTGCGCCCGCGTGACGCCGCGCCGGCGCCGCCGAGAGCCTTCGGATCCGGGCGCCGCAAAAACCGACTAGATTTATGATGACCTAATTTATCCTTCTCCTCCTCCTCCTCCTCCTCCTCCTCCTCCTCCTCCTCCTCGCCCCCCTCTCTGGACGCCCCCGCGCCTCGCCGCCGCCGGGCCTCGCGCCGCCGGGGCAGGCCTTGCTCTTGGTGGCCTGCCGCCGCACGGCGGGCGGACCGATTTAGCCTTGATCGCCAGAAGGAAGTTCGAGCACCAGAGAAGCACCGAAACTCGAGGCTTTTCGCGTGTCGGGCCTTGGGGGGCACTCGTCCGATACTGCTTCGACACTGTTTCGACACCTGTCCGGGTGCTCGAGATTGTTTCTGGGATGTGGTCCTTCAGTTCGATGGGAATGACATCAGCCTTTCGCTGGAGTGACCTTTGGTGCGGGCCCAAGGGGCCCCCAATTGCTGAACGCGAAGCGGCAGCAGCGGCTTGCGCGCCTGGGTTTGGCCACCCCGCGTCCTCCGTTAAGCCGCGCACCAAAGGTCACTCTTGCCTGGGGTCACTCTTGCGTGTAGTTGAACACAGCACGACCTGGGCGCTGCGAGAAGGGTATGAATAAAAGCTTGGCACTTGGGCGAGATTTTCTACATGCCCCCAGTCTGGCCCCTTGTTGGGCGTTGGGCGTGAGCATGGGCATGGATGAAACGTCGATCGCCTGAGAACGCGGCGTAGGCAGAAGCGCGGACCTCGGGCAGTTTCACTGTTTTTGCCCTCATGGGTTCCCCTATCGCTGCTTTTTTTCGATCCGGGAGTTTTCGCTCGGTTTCGGGCCCCGTGACCCTCAAAGATCGATCCAGTGCGAAGCATGGCGCAGACAGATGGGGTCCAGGGCTCAGGTCGCGCCTTTTCACTAGGTCGGTCCAGGGCTGTGGTCCAGGGCGTTTGTTGTTTTCTGGGTTTCCGCCAGGTTGGGCCCCTCGGAACCCTCAGATCCGGGCGCTGCCAAGAAAGATCGAGCTGGCCAGTTTGTCGCTGTTGTCGGCCTCGCGAGGCCGTCTCCTGGCGCCGGGACCACCTCGAAAACGACCCTAGTGTTAAGTCGAGCCTGTCCCCCTACAGGGGGATTGCCGACGAAAAATAAAAAATGCACCAAAAATAGTCAAACAACAGTCCAAAAATAGTCTGGAGACTATCTTTGGAGTATTTTTTCACCTTTTTGGGGTACTTTTTTGGGGTATTTCTTGTTTTTCGTCGAAAATCCCCCTGTAGGGGGACTCGCCCGACATAACCCTAGTTGAAGAATTGGTCCATGGGAGAGTGGTCGAGATCCCTGGGGGCCGACGTCACGAACAAAAATGCAACGTCGGAGGAGAGGGAACCCGCCACTAGTTGTGTCGGCGGCGAGCCCGGGGGGGCAGCTGAGCAAGGGCGGGTCTTCTCAGAAGGCTCGGAAGTCCCCCGGCCTTCTGAGAAGTTTTCCAAGCCTTCCCCGAGGACGCAGAGAGCCTCTCAGAAGGTCGGGGCGCTTCTGAGAGGCCCCGCCGCCTTCTCAGAGGGTCTTCTCCTTCGCACTTCCCCTCCGCGCTCGCCACCGACTGTGGGCCCGCAGACGTGCTCGCGTCGTGCAGCAAGCAAGCAAGTCACGACGGGAGGGTGGGGCAGGTTTCGGGCTCTGGGGGCCCTTGCCAGGCCGAGAGGGGCCGTTATAGAAGGCCTCAGGGACAGGGGCAAGTGCAGGTAAACGTGCTGGAAGCTGACGAAGGGCGATGCGCCTCAGCACTGCAAGGAGTGTCGCCTGGGCTCTCACCGCGAGTGCGAGGCCTGCGGTGTGCGGCCACCCCGCGAGGAAGCACCCCGCCAGCTGCTCGGTCCATCGGCGCCTGCGCAATGGAAGAAGCCTGGGGTGCGAGAGCTGGCTCCAGGGCAAGGGTCGGGATTTCCGGGAGCCCGCCTTGAAACGATCAAAGAGTGTTTGGGTCCAGATCTCCGACGATACCCTCGCCTCTTCATTCGTCCCCACGCTTACCGCGCTCACGAAGAGTGCTTGTCGTGGTTTCGGAGAGCGGCGCATGTCGCGGAAGCCAAAGCGCGGAAAGCGGGAAAGTCATGTTGGGTCGAATCGCACTTGGAATCAAAATGGAGATGGGCGGGGAATATCATCTGCATGCCAGCTAACCGGTTGGCCAAACCGATGACACAATGGAGGTAACACATGTGGTGGGAAGAGCAATCAAGGTGAACAGTCGAATGCCCAATTCGCTCCCGGCCGGGGTGGTTCAGCAGATGAGAAGATGTGCCTGTATCGTGCGCAAAACATGCCGCTTGGGATTCTTGGGCGGCGAAGGCATCGAATCAGTCAGCGTGGGAAGAGAGCGAGCAGTATGTTATCGGAGGTGAGGGGGTGAGATCGAAGCGGAACGGAGAGCCCCCCTACCGGGAAATCGGTTTCGGTTTCGTGTTCGTCCGTGCCGTGCGTGCGGGCGAGGCGACGCTGCGTGGACGGGCGTGAAATGTCCCGCCTCTGGCTGAGGCGCGGCCAGACCAAAAGTCTCCCTTCCGGCAACCGGTGCAGCGCGGTGCCCCGCCAGTGTCCCGCCGATGTCCCGTCGGTGTCCCGATGATGATGATGACGATGTTGATGTTGATATTGATGTTGATGATGATGATGATGATGATGATGATGATGATGATGATGGCCATGGTGGTGATGATGATGGTGTCCCGATGATGATGTTGATGATGCTGATGTTGCTGATGATTCTGATGGTGTCCCGATGATGATGACGATGATGTTGATGATCATGATTATGTGACTGATGATGAGATGATGAGATGCTGATGTTGATTATGATGGTGTCCCGATGATGATGATGATGATGATGATGATGATGATGATGATGATGATGATGAGGTTGATGATGATGTGGTTGATGATAATGATAGTGATGATGGTGTCCCGATGATGATGATGTTGATGATGATGATGACGATGATGGTGTCCCGATGATGTTGATGAAGATGTTGATGAGGATGATGATGATGATGATGATGATGATGATGATGATGAGATGATGATGATGATTCCGTTGTGGTGGCCCGATGGTGATGATGATGCTGATGTTGATGATGATGATGGTGTCCCGTTGATGATGATTACGATGGTGATGATGATGGTGACGATGATGATGGTGTTTAGATGATGATGATGATGTTGATGATGCTGTTGCTGATGATGATGGTGTCCTGAGGATGATGATGTTGATGCTGTTGTTCATGATGATGATGAGATGATGATGATGGTGATGATGGTGTTTCGATGATGACCATCATGATGATGGTGTCCTCATGATTATGATGATATTGATGATTATGGTGACGATGATGGTGTCCCGATGATGATGATGATGATGGCCATGGTGGTGATGATGATGGTGTCCCGATGATGATGATGTTGATGATGATGGCCATGGTGGTGATTATGATGGTGTCCCGATGATGATGATGTTGATGATGCTGATGATTCTGATGGTGTCCCGATGATGATGACGATGATGTTGATGATCATGATTATGTGACTGATGATGAGATGATGAGATGCTGATGGTGATGATGATGGTGTCCCGATGATGATGATGATGAGGATGATGATGAGGTTGATGATGATGTGGTTGATGATAACGATAGTGATGATGGTGTCCCGATGATGATGATGTTGATGATGATGATGACGATGATGGTGTCCCGATGATGTTGATGAAGATGTTGATGAGGATGATGATGGTGAGATGATGATGATGATGATTCCGATGTGGTGGCCCGATGGTGATGATGATGCTGATGTTGATGATGATGATGGTGTCCCGTTGATGATGATTATGCTGGTGATGATGATGGTGACGATGATGATGGTGTTTAGATGATGATGATGTTGATGATGCTGTTGCTGATGATGATGGTGTCCTGATGATGATGATGTTGATGCTGTTGTTCATGATGATGATGAGATGATGAGGATGGTGAGGGTGGTGTTTCGATGATGATCATCATGATGATGGTGTCCTTATGATGCTGATATTTATGATTATGGTGACGATGATGGTGTCCCGATGATGATGATGATGATGATGATGATGATGATGATGATGATGGCCATGGTGGTGATGATGATGGTGTCCCGATGATGATGATGTTGATGATGCTGATGATTCTGATGGTGTCCCGATGATAATGATGTTGATGATCCTGATGAGGTTGATGATGATGAGATGATGAGATGATGATGAGATGATGATGCTGATGTTGATGATGATGGTGTCCCGATGATCAGATGATGATGATGAGGTTGATGCTGATGCTGTTGATGATGATGATGATGATGGTGATGATGATGGTGCCCCGATGATGATGATGAGGATGGTGATGACGTGATGGTCATTTTTATGATGGTGGCCCGATGATGATGATGCTGGTGTTGATGATGATGGTGTCCCGATGATGATGTTGATGACGATGGTAACGATGATGATGGTGTCCCGATGGTGATGATACTGATGACGATCATGTTGCTGATGTTGATGATGGTGTCCCGATGTTCATGATGTTGTTGATGTTGCTCATGATGATGAGATGATGGTGGTGGTGTCCCGATGATGATGCTGGTGTCTCGATGATGATGTTGATGATGATGATGGTGACGATGATGGTGTCACGATGATGATGATGGTGATGTTGATGATGATGTTGAGGATGATGGTGATCAGGTGATGATGATGCTGGTGTCCTGGTGACGGTGATGTCGATGATGATGATGATGA